ATGTAAGTGAGCTTAGGCTGAACTTGTCCGTCTGTGCCTGGCTTATTTCACTTAGTCTGATGTCCTCCAGGTTCATGTGTGTTTACACAAATGACAGGATTTTCTTCTTTTTTTAAGGGCAATGAGTTGCATTCTTTACACGGGTGAAATCGTATGGCACGTGAATCATATTCTCAATGAAGACAATATACTTACAAAGGCACATAAAGGAAAGACAGCTTAAGTTTCCTTTTTTCTTTTCTTCTCTCTTTCTCTCTCTCTCTCTCTTTCACCCTCCAGGAAGGGAAAAAATGGGATTTGGTACCTAACCAGATGAGGGTGTGAGGGAGTGGAAGGGGCCCAGGAGGATGTCCAGGTCTCCGGCCAGCTTGTTAAAACGAGAGTCCTGCTATCCTGTGACACCAGCAGGAGGGGGCTCTCCTCAGAGGCTGAGAGGAGCCACTGTGACTCTGAGCCATGCTTTCGGGAGAAACCAGGACCACATTCCTCACGCCCTCAGTAAACTCACTTCCTGTTTTTCATAACGGGGAGAACATTTTCAGACTTTAGTGCAATAACCGCGCTCGGGGCTGACCTTCCCACAGGGTGATTTGAGGACACTGGGGAGGAAGCCCTATGCAAACCATCTCCCTCAGGGATTTCTCTCCACCTTTCTACTCTCAGAGAGACACTCAGTTTAAGACTTTCCCTTGCCTGGGACCACCAGTCAGAATGCAAATATTCCCTGGAGAAGTTAGTTCTTATGAATTATTATTATTTTAATCTAAGTCATTTTACCACATTATTGAACTCAAAGTTTTGCAAAAGGTGGTGAGGTTTAAGAGGCGAGGGGAGAGGAGAGATAAACGTCATAACATTTTAGAGGTCACGAGTCCCGAGCACTTGTCTGGTCGCTGTGGTGGCTCAGAGCACAGCTTCTGGAGCCCCAGAGAGTGGGACTGAAGCCCAGCTCTGCTGAGCGGTGTGGCCTCGGTTCCTTCACCTTTAAGATGGGGACAATGACACAACCTTCCTCATAGGATTGATGTGAGGAATGAATGAGTTCATACATGTAGAACACTTAGACCCACACCCAAGTGTCACACGGGTTAATTAATCAATTAATCCGAATGAATATCAGTGAGGACCGAGAGAGTACAGAGGGGAAGGTACTGGCACCAGGACACTGAACTAGTCGGTGGTAGGGCTGCCGGGTAGCTCAGTCGGGTAGAGCGTGGTGCGGGTAACACCAGGGTTCGATCCCTGTGCTGGCCAGTCCTGACCACCCCTCCAATCCCATCCCCCCAAAAGTATTTTCATTTTCCAAAGCACTTTGGCATCTTTTGGGGGGGCGGGGGAGAGAAGCATTATTGGACAATTCTTACGTAGTTGTAAAATGCTTTGCTGTATATCTTTTTCTAATCCATTTTATTTTTTCCTTTCAGGCCAAGCGTCTTTTTTTTCCTGGAAGAATCTCCTTGATGCACTTTGGACAGATAATGGTCTTTTCTCTTTAATTATGAGAAAAGCAAAGGCCAGTGAGGCCGTGGGCACACAGCCATCGTGGGACAGAGTGCTGGGCCTGACCCACTGCCTGCCCCACCCCAGCAGATCCTCTGCAGCCTTCACCTGCCTCCAACCCCTTTCCTTGGCTCCTAAATCCCCTCTCAGCATCACTTAATGATTTCCCAGATTCTGACAAAGCATTGGCATAGTTTTGTTTGAAGTCTCCCAGGAAGTCCGGCATGCGCCCTGGCTTTCTTCCCAAGGGGCAAGTTACCCTCAGGAAGGGGAAGCCCATCCGCAGGTGCCTGGCCCAGGAGGGAGAATGGAAGGGGCAGGTGGCTGCGATCAGCCCATGCCTCCTGCATGTGGCCATCTGAACCATTTCCCTTCACGAGGCATCACTCATTTTCAGGGGCACGTCTGTCCCTTTCTGCAGCTGCACCTGGGGGGCATGGTGGGCGGTACACTTCGCTTTGAACAGCAAGCACAGAGCAGACCAGGACCTCCCCTGACCCCCAAACATCCAGGTCCTCATTACCTCAATTTCTTTTCTATAAAATAGAGGTGATACCACTTGTCTAATACTTGTCTAACACTGTGTCTAATAGTACTTGTCTAATACTGTCTTAGTTGTGAGACTCAAAGAAGAAAATCCAAGTAAAGGTGCTCAGTAAACTCTAAAGCAGTGATTCTTAATTGGGGGACAGGAGTTGATTCTGCCCTCTAGAGGACATTTGTTTGTAACACCTGAGGGAAGGTGCACATGGCATCTTCTAGAATGAAGAGGAAGCGCCCAGGAATGCTGCTCAGCATCCTATAACACACAAGACAGCCCTACAACAAATTATCTAGCACCAAATGTCAGTAGTGCCAGACTGGAGAAACTCTGCTCGAAAGGATGGTCAAAAAGAAACATTTACAGGGAATTCACTATGTGCCTGGACATGTATTACCTCATTTAATTGTTCCAGCACCCTGTGAGGTGGTATGGTTATTGTTCCCATTTCATAGATGGGAAAACTGAGGCACAGAAGAATTAAATAACTTGCCCAAGTCCTACAAATAGAACAGGATGAGGCAGGAATGAATCCTAGGTGCTTCTACCTCCCAAACCCACTCTTTAAAAAAAAAAAAAAATACATACATATATATATATATATATATATATATATTTAATTTATTGGTGGCTGGCGGGTATAGGGATCAAACCTTGGACCTTGGTGTTATCAGCACCATGCTCTAACCAGCTCAGCTAACCAGCCAGCCCACCAAACCCACCTTTAATCTATGTGTTACAGAGCATGTCTCCAATCTGCCTATGGCAAAGGTCTCGCATCTGTGCCTGAATAAAATAACACTTTGCACGAATGCATTTTACCCTCCCCCACTTCCCATATCAGGAGATGCTATTGCAATGAATAAAATGCAAATCCCTTAAAAGCGTTAATAAATTCATGTTCTGGGCCGGCCCGGTGGCGCACTGCGCTAGTGTGCTGCTTGGGAAGCGCGGCGGCGCTCCCGTCGAGGGTTCGGATCCCACATACAGACCGGTTCCCGCTCACTGGCTGAGCGAGGCGCGGGGGCAGCACCGAGGGTTGCGATCCCGTTGCCGGTCCCGGTCCGGTGCGGGGGCGACACTGAGGGTTGCGAACCGTTGCCGAACACGGAAAAAGACAAAAAAAATAAATAAATAAATTCATGTTCCTTTCTGTCATTATACATTTTCCTCAATCAAGGGAATCTAGGGCCGGCCCGGTGGCGCACTGCTACAGTGCGCCGCTTGGGAAGCGCGGCAGCGCTCCCGCCAAGGGTTCGGATCCCACATACAGACCGGCCGCTCACCGGCTGAGCAAGGTGCGGGGGCAACACCAAGGGTTGCGATCCCGTTGCGGGTCCCGGTCCGGTACGGGCGCGACACTGAGGGTTGCGATCCGTTGCCGGTCACGAAAAAAGACAAAAAAAAGGAAAAAAAAAAAAAAATCAAGGGAATCTAAAAGTAAACTGCAACTATATTGGGGGGGGGGAGTCCACAAAAATCTTTTGTCTCTCAAGAAAGGGGAGCCTCATCATCTAAAAGGCAGGAAACCTCTACGAAAGGTTTGAACTAAATTCAAAGCCAGCGGCGTCTTTTCTGAGTTTATCTTCTTTTCATGCAGCTTAGCTATGCCACTTGCCGAGGTTAATTAAAACGCTCTGAAGCCAAAACGAAAAAAATAAAAATAAATAAAAAACATCTCGCGAATAACATGTAAGGATTTTGTAACCAACATATTTGGCTTGGGAATGCCTTCCCCTCAAGTTCTTGTCATTAAGGAAGCTGGGACCAATGAACCCCTTGAGTCTCTTCAGTTCGGTCACAGGAACTTCTAATGCTGTTCCAGTGGAACGGCTCCCCAAGAGCACCTGTCTCTAAACCTGTCCTCTACTCCCTGGAGAGGTGCACCTGCAGGTCCCCCTGACGGTCGTCCCCATCGCAGAGTCCCTTGCTAGCCACGGGCCCCAGGAAGGCTGAGGGGCTCTGGCAGCCGGGGCTGCCCCCGGCTCCTTGCCGGGCAACGCACTCACCCCTTCCTTCTTGATCTGATCCTGTTGCTCCATCTTTGCTCTGGAAGGGCAGAGTGTCGCTTGTCTCCTTTTAGCCAAAATAGCAAATGCACTGGATGGAGAGAGAAGACATTCTGGCTGCACTTTGGCCAAGCCAAGTCACAGCCAATCACATTTTTATAGCCAGTCTAAGTCAGACTAACCCTTTCAGGAACCTTGTCTTCCTCACCCTTCCTCATCTTCCTTTCACTTCTGTTTTTAAATGAAATGTCTGGGGCTTGACTGAGCCCATGTGTGCCCCCAGGGTGCAGGCAGGGCACAGCCCTGGCTGGTATAGACGGAGGTTTCCTCACCACTGAAGTCTCCACCAGTCAGGCTCGTGGTGAGTGACTGGAAGGGTTATTTCTGTCGGGAACATATGGAAAGCAGCAGCTGTCACCGACCCTACACCACACCAGGCAGTACGAGGCACCCACTGGGTCACCAGAGGTCCTGCAGCAGTGGTCCCCGCCAGGAAGCCTGCAGTCGAAGCTCTCTAGGAGAGGGTCGGCTTTTGCCCAAGTAACCATGCGACACTTTCTTGGGAGGATTTGTTTTCTCTTCCACTCACAGTGGCCCAGAGATGTCATTTTCTGCGTGTTCATCACTATTGGGAAGGCAGTAAATTCCTTGAATCCCTTTACTGGCAGGACAGGGAAAGTGAGTCACACTGCGGGTCTGGGTCCACCCATCTCAGGGCCAGGCCACCCCTAGCCCCCTGCGCTGGGCACGTGCTCAGCTGCCACGGGGCACACCAGCTTAAGAGGCCAAAATCCAGAGCAAAGTCCCACAGCTGCCACAGGCTTTCACCTCTACAGGACGTTTTCATTGTTCTGTGGCACAAAGCCAATTAGCTTAGTTATCCATCCCGCTCATTCACCTTTACACAGTGACCGGGAGCCCGCGACGCGTTGGCCATTGTTCCTGGCATCACAGAAACTCCAGAATTGTGACCAGGTTCCTCAGGGTGGGAAACTGACGAGGCTGACCGTGTGGTAGCCTGTGGGGGCGACAGGGGTGTCCCTGCGTCCCTGTTCACGGGGGAGAACTGAGCATTGCCTTCACCGACTTTTGTCTTCTGTGTCACCGCCCTGACACAGTGACTTCCACCTATGGCGTGGCAGAGGTTTCCAATTATACCAAAGATTTTGAAAAATTCTCCAAAGAAAGTGCGCTTTAATGCGGGGGACGGCGATCAACCACCGGCAGCGGAGGGAAGGGCACGGGCTGCACAGACAAGAAGCGGTGTCGCCGTGTGCGCTGGTCGGTCACACAGCGCAGGCGACTCAAGGGACCGGGCATCCCGGCCCACACCTTCCACTTCCCCATGAAAACCGAGGGGTCCGGCCGGGCGCGACACTCCCCACCCCTGCCTCGACTTCCCCAGGAGGTGGCGGCCGCAGTACCTGATTCCTGCCGGTCACAGGGCAACGCCAGCCGCGTCGTCACCAACGTCACCAACGCCTCAGCCCGGAGGGAGCGGCGCGAGGACCGCGCGGGGGGTGGAGGCCG